AACGGACGATGCGCGGCCGCGAGTTCAGCGCGCAGCCGGGAGTCGGTGCGCAGTCGTGCCGTTACATGACAACTTTACTACCAGAACCAAAAAGCATATGCTGAGGTGCACACGGTACTGCATTGCTGCATTGCACGGCTTTCAACAAGGGAATTGTTGAGGACTGCGGGCCCTCGAACTCTAGCTTTCATGTGGATCTTGAAATTTTGTAAGGCCACGCAAAAATGAGGGGAGTTCCGGGAATCGAACCCGGGACCTCTCCGACCCAAACGGAGAATCATACCACTAGACCAAACTCCCGGGCGACATAGCAGGTCGACAAGTAAATATATAAATGCAACTATATGCATTCTGAAACTAGACACGGCTTATCCAAGAACGGCCCGTCTTTATGGTATTAGTGGTAACTGGCTCAAGTACGAATCTGACCGTCTAGATGACAAGTTGAGCGGACTAGATTCATTCAGACGAGAAGGGCACTAGCCTCCCGGGCAATTTTCTCGCTGGAGGAGTGCACCGGCTATTCCAATCTCCGGCCGGCATACAAGATTGAAGACACCCTGTACTCGGAAGGCCTACGCCCGGCTAGGGTGGGCTACGGGAACAAACTGGCCGGTGTTCGAGCCCGGTCGAAAGACCCCGGGCTGGCTGCTTGTGTTGGGTTGGCGCCTATTACCACAATCCAAACATTTGAAATGTGCACTCAGTCCGAGACTCTGACCGAGTCTGAGTCTGAGTGCAAGTTCAGAGCAGCAAGCAAGCCTCAAGGACTGGATCGAGGCGCCGATGCATTGGCGTTGGCATGATCATGAGGGTGCTTTTGGGTGCTCAGTGCTACTGAGGATTGGCATCAGCTAGGCAGATTTCAGCTGGAGTGGGCTGTGGTGCACTACCGTACCTTGATCGCAATGTATCTAGATTCTTTGAAAGTAGGCCTCGTATTTGGGTTCTCCTTCTAGTCAGGGGACGGCTCCAGCTAACCTGGATGACGTTTTGTGAATAGCGAGAACATCCAAAATGGAAGAGTGCTTTACTTTGCTGCGTTCCAAGGACATCATGGTCCGTCTTCAAGCTCTTTCAAAGGCTCAGAACCTGGTGGAACACCTGGATTTAGGAGAGGTTACAGAGTTGACAGACATTTCATTAGACCTGCTGAAGGACAACAATTTCAAAGTCTGCCATGGAATCCTGCTCGTTCTGACAAAAGCGGTTCCTAGCTCAGGAGAGCACTTCAAGCACCAGCTTAATGCGCTTCTGCCCGGAGTTATTGAGAGACTAGGCGATGGGAAGCAGCCTGTGAGGGAGGCCGGGAGACGACTCCTGCTGGCCTTGATGGAGGTGACTCTTAATGAACCCTCTCTGTGGAAGTTTTGGAGTCTGAGTGATCATTCGAATGTTGTTTCAGAAGTACTCCAAGTTCTGTGAAGCTCCTTCCCTTCAGGTACTATGGTGGCCGCATCATATTACCTGAGGTGATGGGGCTATAACCTGCAGATTGACAACGTTGTGACCATCAGTAGTTCCTATTCTCACAAATTAGCGCAGGACTGAAACGCTTGGCTTTTGCAGAGCGGACCCTGTTGACTGTCTGCAAGTCTCACCACAGTCACACAGACGCGTGCAAACACTTGTTGAATGCAGCTGCGCGTAGAAAGTACACCTTTTTTGAGCTCCTCTGATATCGCGTTCGTGCTTGAGCGTCGTTCCTCACACCCGTAAAACCTGGCAGAAGATTGTCTTGTTGCAGCAACCTGTGCTCAAGTTGAAGCCCGTGATGCACTCCCTTCTTATGAAAGCTTCTTTTGCTGCTTTTTTGTGGTCCCCAACTATCTAAGAAGTCAAGATTTTGATTCGATTGTCAGATTTTGCTTCTCTTCTGTCTTCAGGCACTTACTCCCGTCCTGATATTCGACAAGATCGGTGACTCTGCCTGGGGGCACAAGAACTGGAGGGTCAAGGAGGAGTTCACCAGGACATGCGCCGCTGCTCTGAGCTTGTTTGGACTCTCAAAACTGCCAGTGCACAAGCTGATCCTTCCGTCGGTGAGGCTGCTCAGCGTCTCCGTCTTAGTGTCATAAGCGGTCCTGGAATCTGTTAGTTTGATGAAGCTGACCTCCGACGTGGACGGTTGCATTGCATGCCCCTTGTGCAAGCATAGAATCAATTGTCGGGGCATGTGTTCCTACAGCAGCTGGCGCTCGGCTATTGTCCTAATGAAAGCTATCAACGACCCGAATGGTACTTCCAAAGGAGCGAGCTTTGCTGGCAGATGACCAGCTTTGTATCCCATAGATTGGTGCCAAGTCTGAAAATTGTATTGATTGGTGTTGCAGGTTCTCAAGCTACTTGAAGACTCAAACAGTGGTGTCCGAGAAGCGTCTATGGCATGCATAGAGGTACAGCCACACTCAGCCCAAAGCTTGCAATGCTCTCCCCTTCGACTTGTGGTGCTTGTTGTCCCCTGATGCGTTACCTTAGAGGTGCAGGTGAACTGGCAGCTGATGTTGATTCAATTCTTTCCAATGAATTTGCAGTGTACTCTAGCTGCACCTACTCAAAGTCAACACTTTGTCCCTTTGTCAGGAGCTGTTCCGGCACATGGGGGGGCCGCTGCTGAGTGAGCTGCAGAGATTCTCCATCCGACCAGCCCAGGTATCTTTTTCGTTCTGGAGCTCAGACTGAAAAGGCCGTTCTCTCGAGGGGGACGTTAAAGAAGCTAAGTGTTGTGGAAAAGGAACGCTGGCTTTACCGATCTTTCTGATCATGTCAAGGAAGCTGATTGTGCCTTCTTGCAAAACCGACTCAACTTGGGATTCAAACCAGCAGCTTTTCGAACAGCGGCTCTGAACGGCTTTCAGACGTTTTTCAAAGAACGGTTCTCATCTGACTTGACCTTGACATCTCAGAATCGCCTCCAGCTATGCAGCGGTGCCATGCTTTTGATGCAGAATGAAATCAAAGAATTTGAATGCAAGCGACCTGCGAAGCTGCCAGATATCTTTCTGCAGTTGAAGGATATCACTGGACGACTCGAGCAGATCAAACCTCCTCCCTCCGTCTCCATCGCAACAAAGCCACTTCAACGAGCAGCGACCGCCCCCGCCACTGCCGGCAGGCATCAGAGCCCGTCCAAAAGGGCACCGACAGCCGAATCGCATGGTCCCAGCCAAACGAACGGGGTTCAAAGGACGCTGGTTTTCGGCACTGGCCCGAGGACGGAGTCAGCAAAGTCGGCCTCAACATCTGGAAGAGGTACACGGTTGCTTTTGCGAAAGGCCAGTCACTGCACGGATTTTGTTTGATGCTGATTTGAGCCAGTCAATGCTGGCAATCAGCAAAGAAACGATTCCCAACAGGATTGCTTCGAGCCTGCGTGTATCGCTTGTTCGTATGAAAATCGTGCAGTTGTGAAAATTTTGTTGCTGACTGTCATCGGAAGCCTCAAGTCGGTCCATCAAACAATTGCCAATCAATCGCAGGCCTCACTGACGACGACGTGGCTCGATACCTGGCCGCCACATGCGAAAAGCCTGTCACTCCAATCAAGATCTACTCGGAGAAGGAGCTGGCCAAGGAAATTGAGAAAGCGGCGACGATCCTGGTGCCCGAAAAGGATTGGAGCGCTCGCATGACCGCTATGCAGAGGCTGTGTGGCTTGGTTCTGGGAGGTGAGGAGCGGCAAGTCCTGAAGAGTGCGAGGCGAGACCCAGCATAATATTCCGCAGGATAGAATATCTCTGATGCTTCCTCTGATGTCGGACTTAAACAACTACCCCTTTCGAATTACTTACCTGGCTGATCTGCGTTTATGATATTTGGTGGAGCCAAGGGTGGAGCCAAGTAGCTCGATACAAGGTGGCAATTGGCCGTCATGATGGACCTGCGGGATCTAGGGGTGTCGTGATTCAAGGTTGGGACAAGCTCCCTAGTCGGATCGCTTCTGATCAGGTTCCAACAAGTGGATCGTGGCCCGCGGTTTTAGTAGTATCGAACATTCCTGAAAGAACGGTGGTAGCAACATCAGGGCACTACGGCCGATTTGCATGGTCAAAGGTGTATTTGACTGTGTCTCTCAAGTCGCCTGTGCTTTCTCCCCTATGCCTTCTCTTCTGAAAGCAAAGCAGTTGGTCCACCCATTACCTGATGCATTTAACCCGTTTACAGGCGCTGCGGAGCTGGAGTCGTTTCCGTCCCTGCTGAAGCAGCTGTGGGAGCCCCTCGACACGCAGCTGGCGGACCGGCGGTCCAGCATCGTCAAGCTGGCCTGTCATCTGCTGATGCTGCTGGCGCAGGAGATGCACCTCGATTTCGAGTCGAGCGCAGAGCACTTCATGCCGGTGAGGGTTGGTAGTTCTCAACCTTCTGCTGGGCGGATGAGTTCTTATGTGCAACTGTGGTTCGTCGGTTATTGTCACGGAGACCGCCGTCGGAAAAAGAGGGAATGTTTTAAAAGAACCTTGTCTTGGTTTCGTTGTTGGTCAGAGTGGAGACTCTCTGGCTTGCCAGCTGGCAGCTCGAAACCATCTTAGTCTAAGAGACGACGGGAAGGACTCAAGTCTGAAGAGCCTTCAGTCAGCGTCTGCTTGTTGATTGTGGCAACATCTCTAAGAACCTGCCTCTGAAATTTACCTTTCTTCTGCAGAGCTTGTTCAAGCTCGTGGTCATAACGGTCCTGATCATTGCTGAGTCGGCGGACAGCTGCATCAAGACCGTAAGCTTCTGACGCATTTCCTTGCCCATAGTTCGAGTACGCTTCTACAAGCGGTCCCTTGCTTCGCAGCGGTTCTTTTCCGCAAAAGTAAACGTGCTCCTGAATTTTCTAGAAGCTCACCTTCTTGGCGAATGTTTCTCGGCGTTTGCATCCCCTCTTGTTGTGAAGCACAGGGGAGCTTAAGCCGCACAAACGACCATTCACTGCCTGTGACTAATTCAAGGAAGGTTTTCAGTGGCGATGATTTTGCATGCCTATCCTTGCTCATACTTGACCATCCGGTTTCTTCATCTACACGTTGGAAAGCGCTGCTCCATAAGGCGTATATTTCACTCGCTCCGGTCTTCTAATGACGCTGGTTTGCTATTATCGGGTGCCTTCCTTGCAGCTTTTGTATTTCTGCCGGTGTGCTCGCATCCTGCCCAAGATGATCGACACTGCGATGCGGGATCGAGCGGGCGTACTGCGCACCAAGTAAGAAGAACCTTCTGGGCTCGACCCGCTCTATCGTTGTAGACGGCCATTTGCTGGTTTTTGTCACAGATTTGTTCTGACCAAGTGTTGCAATAGTCGAAGGATATCGAGACAAGGGCCTCTGCGTGTGACGTAGAGTGTGAACTTAAGAAAACCAACAGCTTCGAGACCTGCATCGGGGACTTTAACATTGAGCCTATATGGTTGAAAGGTTGCTCGCAACAGCGGAGGTTAGGAAGCGTTGCTGACTAGGAGAAAGGCACGATATCATCAGAGGACAAGGCACGATACTCTTACAGGACAGAAGGGCTCCGGTCGCTTCTGGTCGCTTGCATTTTCGAAAACTTGCACCTACATTCAGGACAGTGTGCTGCAAAAAGAGTTCAGTAACAGAATAACGAGCCTCTCTTGCGCGATCCTTGCAGGTGCTGCGGATACGCTCTGCTTATTCTGGATCAGTGGCGGGAGGCTCCAGAGATTCAGAAGACGGGGCAGCTGTTCGAGGACATGATCCGGTGCTGCGTAGGCGACGCCCTCAGCGAGGTACGAGCGGGCTGGCCTCTTCTGTCAGTGAACTCAACGAGCTGTCTGTTCAGCGGCAGGCCGTTGCGTGCGCGACTCTAGATGGTCTTCAGATTCTTGGAAAGGACCAGCAACGGTGTGGAGTAATTTAAAGGCTGTTAGATTCCATTAAGCTTGAGTATCTTTTTCTTGAAGTCTCTGGCAAAACACAGATGCTGTTACTCATCGCCCGTTCTCTGGCCAGGTCCGTGCCATTGCCAGACAGTGCTACCAGGTCTTCGCCCTCGTGTGGCCAGACCGGGCGCGGCGACTCTTCTCGAGTCTCGACAGCTCTACACAAAAGGTGAGCCGTCTCCTCAACCCTGGCGGTCTAAGGACAACGTTGTCTGTATCAAAGAAAAGCTGCACACCATCTGCATCGAGCGGGAGGCATCTCAGGGAACCCCTTACAAGGCCATTCCGTTTCTTCGAGTGGCGATAGCTTCGAGCTAGATTCGTTGCCGCGCTTTTGTCAGATGCCCGCCGATCGGATCGGAGGAGGAGGTACTCAGGCAGCAGTTGGCCTTTCCAGCTTCGCGTGCAGATTGCCAACGTAAGCATCCTCTCGTGGTGTGCAGTTGCTACAAGAGGAGCAAAGAGCCGGCCCGACGCCTCGTTCCCCGCCAGGGAAAGACAAACCAAGCCTTTTCAGACCACCAAGCGGAGCGGGGTCCAGAGAAGCGTCTTCGAGGGAGGCTACGCCCCGTGAGCCGGTAGGGACTCCGGCTTCCGTGCTGAAGGACCCTCCTTTGAGAACAGCATCGAATCCAGCTAACCTGATTGCGGCCTCCGAAAAGGAAGGGGATGCGGGGGGATATGCTGCCGGGATGCAAAGAAGAATAGCGGAAAGAGCGGGGCCCGGGCCGTACAGCACGCAGAGAAAAGAGGGGCAGCCGTCGAACGACCCGCTGAGGTCACTTACGGGGATGCTGAAGTCAGCGAGCGCGGAAGATCTCCTCGACGTTCACAAAGCGCGGGGGCCGCGCGGGCACGGGTTGAGTGGCCCGATGAGGGTCGATGCGGGTGGTAGAGGGCCCCCCAGAGATGGACACGTGTCGGACGATCCTTCGTTGCTTGGACCGTCAACCCCGCACTCGCGACTCGGGGGCCACGTCCTTGGAGGGGGGCACATGGCAGCCAGGAGAGTGCCTCAGAGGGCCTCCCAGAGTGAGCGAGATTCGGAGACCGAGTCCGTTCAGTCTGACGATGCGCCAACAAATCGGAACCCGGAACCCGCTCGACAGATGGGCGCCAGGCGGCTCCCTGCGCAGCCACAGTTGCCGCCCCTCACTCCGGGGGGTCCATCCAAGCAGGAGAACCCGCCCCCCGCCAAGGCGTCCCGGCCGCAACCCCGGACCAGCGCCACGTCGGCCAGCAGCGGGTCGTCGAGACCGCCCTCCAGCTGGGAGGACGTCAGCGTCTCGCGTCAGCAGAGCCGCAGTAGCGAGCAGGATGACGTGTTTGGCGACGTGTGGGCGTTCTCGGAACCGGTCCCGCTGTCGGAGGCGTTGGCCTCAGGCGCCGACCCGGAGGGCACGTGGACCAACCGGGTGCAGGCGTTCCAGGCGGTGGTGACGTCACTGCAGCAAGACGAGAGCGGGAGCGAGGTGGCGGCATGCTTCAAGAAGGTCATGGGGCTGTATTTAGCGCACCTGGGCGAGCAGCACCACAAGGTGAGCCTTGCCTACGCTGTTCTATTCAATCTGAGGATGTCGGCTTTCAAAGTTCAGCAAATTGTCTATCACGATTTTGTTTGTCGCTGGGTTGCTTTGGAAACGACTACCGTACGACCAAGGTATGATTCCGAATGCTCAAAAAAGGCAATTATTTTGGCGAATGCGAGCCCAAATCGTGTATTATTTTCCACTTTCCGACCCTAAATCCGAATCTGCCAAGAGTACCCCGGTACCTATGTTTTCATGGTCTGATGCGTTAAAAGGTACGTACCGGATACTCATACGGCCTTGGACATACTTTCCGAATTGAGGTTTAGCAATTATTTTTGCTTTCCGAAAAAGCAGAATCCGACTGCTTATTCGGAGTTTCCAACTTTCCGAATGCAAATAATTATTTATTTATTCGGAATCATACCTTGGTCGTACGGTACATGCAATCCAAGAAAGTCTCTTGTTGGACGCCAGCTGAAGTTGTGGTTGTAACCACGAACCGCGTTGAGTTCGCATCCTGCACCCCACTTGTGCCCTTTACCGAGCAGGAATCTCTGACGGGCAGAAAAAGGAACATTTTACGTTTGTAATGAGCACCGCACACCCCGAAAACTGACTGAAGTTTCTATTTTTCGACTACAAGAAGTCGGTGGCAGGACCTAAGTGACCCGCGTCTCCCTTCCAGGTCGCGGCCGCCGCGCTGTCATCCCTGGCGGAAGTCATCAAGACCCCCAGCTGCTGCCGGCTGTTTGAGGGGTACTTGGAGCGCGTTCTCCCTCTCGTTTCTGGGCGCTTGATTGACACCAAGGACAACATCAGGCAGGCGGCCGCTCGCGTGCTCGATGTGAGTCCTGATAAGGGTTCGTTGCAACTCGTAGTACCGTAAGGACCAAGTAGGCCCGAGGTTTGCAGGCTAGGAGAAAGATGTGCGCGCTTGGTTGATGTTCCATAATGCTAGCATCTCAGCACCTTACTTATGCGGTGTAGCTGAAAAGTTAGAGCGGTGTTGTTGTTAGAGGTCGATTATTTTCCTTCTTTGAGGTTGAGTATCGTTCAAACGTACGGTGCATCCATCTTCGTTCAAAGCGTCCGTGTCCAAACCATCTATGGTGTTGCAGATACTCTGCTTTCCTACTGTAGAGATCTTTGCGCAGTTTGGAAGAGCGTGGCACCGACTCTTCGTGGCTTTGACTCAGACTTCCATGCTTCTCTCTTTAGTCGTAGTGGCGCAATGGTCACACTCTACCGAACAACTCCAATCACCCATAAATCTGAACTTCAGCCTCCAATTACAAACTCCAGTCAGCTTCGGCCTTCAACAAAGAAAGTCAAGCCAGAGAAGCTGATAACTGCAGCTTTATCCTGTCCTGCAGGCTTGCCAGGAGGTTTACACGGGCGACGTCCTGTTGCAGCCCCTCATTCGGTCGCTCGACGAGCAGCGGTCCGTCAAAGCAAAGGCAGCGGTTGCGGAGTATGCAGCCACCGCGTTGCTGAAGCCGCCTCCAGGGTCAGGGGAGGGGACCTGGGTTAACCCGACAGTGCTCAAGCATTGGCTGGCTAGGCTGGCGGCATTGACTACCGAGAAGATTGCGAAAGCGAAAGAGGTAAGCTCGGGGGTAAATACTAGATGGAGTGTTTACTGGCTGTGCACGGTCTGGGGTTTTCAAGTCCATATGATTGAAGGCTGGTTCAGATGCGGTTGCGCAAGAAAGCATAGCCATTGACTATGTGCTACTGCTCGTCTCCATTGCGTTTTGGTACGATTCGAACGGCATGGAGGCCGGCTTTATCTGCGTCTTCTGGATACATGACGGTAGGGGTTGAAGTTGTTGCTCGTTTGCAAAGCTGTGGCAATAATTCGGAGTTCGAGATGCACTGATCTTTTTGTTGGTTGCAGGCTGGTGCGAAGGCGCTGGTTTCGGTGTACGAGCACCTGGACTCGAACGCGGTGCTCACCCTCGTGTTGGGCTTGCCTATCGAGGAGCAGGTGGCGCTGCGACATTTGTTGAAGAAGTACACCCCGCGGATCGACGAGGACTACAACCAGATTCAGGCTCTGAGCAAGAAACGATACAAGGTGGTTCCGTCGAACGGGGCGCCCGTGCAAACAGGTGAGGCGAGCTTGTTGAAGCAGAGTAGGTTAGATTGCTCTGTTTGACCCTATTTGGTGGTCTGACCGCTTCTGTCTACAAGTTGCATGTAGAGGGTAGAGTATGTTTGATTGCTAAGGGGCTTTGTTTGTTGACGAGAGGTTGTTGGAGCTTTTCGTGAGCTTTTTGACATAATCGTATGTACATGGTTTGAGAAAGAGAACGGAAAGTAAGGCCGCTGCGTTCCGCTAATACTTATCTTGGTGACCTAAGTCACAGAAGCAAACCCTTTGGGCAACCCTGAGGTGAAGGACTGGATTCGATCTTGTCTGTTTGGTAAGCTGCACACTGCGTCAAGGAACGAGTTTGCAGAAGCGTTCGATTGTGAGCCGTCTTTTAACCATTCTCGTGTCTCAACAATCACACATTTCGACGACGTCTACTTTTTCTCCTCGCTTCCAGATCTGCCAGCTGCCAGAGCGCCACGAGCAGCATCACAGCGTTCTCGGCAGGAAGAGGACGTTCCTCCGGCCGCCCCGGAGTCCGACTCGGAGCCCGAAATTGTGGACGACTCGCACTCTGAGCAGACCGCAAGGGAAAAGCGCGTCAAGCAGTGGGTCGAAGTCGAGGCCCGAAAAGCTCTGGCCGTCCCGCCGGAAGCTCTAGGGGTGCGCTCTGCCGGGAAGCCTACTGGGGGAACCTTAGAAAGTGTTGAGGATCAACTTGCGGAGGCGGACGAGCGGGCGCTGGCGGAGTTGCAGCGGCGGCTGAGTGGTTCGGACCAGCAAGCTGTATCGACGTCGAATCCAAGCGAAGCGTCTGCCGGGCGACCGAAAGGCTACGCCGAAATGTTTTCCGAACGGCGAAAGTCGTTATCCGGTGCTGCGAAGGACGTTGCAGGCTCCTCGGGGGAGCCGCCCGCAGTTGATTCGAACAGCCCCGCAAAGCAGACCCGACCGTCGATTCGTCCGGCCAACGATCCGAACGTGGGGAACGCCACGAAACTTCCGCCCCCCGGCGAGGTTGCAAAAGTTGTTTCCCCTGCGAAACGGGTGCCACAAGGAACGCCGAAGCGGCAGGCGGAACCCTCGCCGCTGGAAAAACTGGCCAGGGGGGTTTCGGCTGAGGCGATCGAGGGGGGGGGTGCGCCGGTGGTTCGACCGGAAGCCCCTGTCAGAAAAGGCACACCGGTGAAGACCCCGCCAAAGGGGGGTACAGATAACGCGAGAAAACCGGAAGGCGCCGTAACTGTGCTGGGCAACGGGGTGGCGGTGCATCGGCTGGACAGCTTTGACTCGGATAGCGGGAGTGATAATGGGTGGACGGAAGCGGAGGGGTTAGGCGGGGCCGGGCTGCATGGAAAAGTCTTCCAGGTAAGCAGATTAGTCGTAACTTCTGCAAACGGTTTGTCGGTCCAACTCAGTTTTAGGATATGGAGGTGGAATGCAACCGGCTAAGAGCAACATCATTGTCCTTTATGGGCGGTGCGTAAGTCTGTCTGTGCGCTCGTCCCTTTAACGTATTGTTGCCGAAAAGTGAGACGTACATCTACACTGATGGGCCTGATAACCAACTCAATCTGCTTGTCAAAAAAGAGCTTGCTGGCATGCCCGACAGATCTGAGATTGATGGCTCTCATCTGGACATTTCACGCCTTTCCAGGAGCTCCCTGATCCGACACGGAATCAGAGGATGGCTGCTCTCAAGGATGTGAAGAAGGCGTGCAAGATGGGGGATGATGCGCTCTGGGAGAAGGTAAGGGGCTGCTCACCAGTCTAGTTTTTTCGCATGTCGAGCCAGGAAGCGTTCGGATTATCAGAGTCCCTAGTCGTCGGCAGCTGTGATTGTCGCGGCCGGGGCGGCTACAAAAGAGCATCTGTTCTGATTGATTTGTCATCCTTCAATCTTTGCTTCCGGCTCCATGCGCGAAGGAAAACCTCAGTGTCTTTTGGCTTCCTTGAAGCGTTCAACGCCTAGTTTGTATGCTGTCTTATAGGAGCGAAAGCCGCAAACTTGCTAGTGACCAGCCTCGCTGATTGTTGGATGGGTTGTCTGCAGCACTACTGGCACTTCTACCAGGTCGTGTTGGAAGCGTTGAACGACGATGATTCGAATCTGAAGGAGCGGGCGTTGAGAATGCTAGAAAAGATGCTGACCAAACACGTGAGCATCCAACTCCTTGGCTTTTCTGGTCTAGTAACAAAACATGCCTGTAGGACAAACGGGAGGCTTCGTTGTCAAGTCTCCTTATGTGATTTCTCACTGCGTTCTGCGGGGTTCCTGTCTTCTCTCTCTTGTTTTTGATACATTTCACGCACTGCTTTGAAGTGCAAATATCTGATGAGACTCCGTGAAAACGGCCTCGTTGAAGCTCTTTCTGGGTCCTTGCCGATCGCTTTGTCCAACGTACAAAAGCTCGATCCCCCATCTCCTTGTTTAACGGTCGTTGGACCTGGCTACAACCATGACAGTCTGGTTGATGAGCATCTAACAAAATAGAATTCAGGCCGGTTGATGACGTGACCTTCTCGGTCACAGGGCTGTGCGTCCGATGACGTGGCGGTGAGCGTGGTGGAGAAGCTGGTGGTGGTCCACCGAGGCCGGACCGCCAGCGTCAGCAGGAGTGCAGAAAACTGCCTCGAGGCGGTGCTCGCGCAAGTCGACCCCGAGCGCAGCCTGCAGGTGCGCGCCGGTGTTGGTCTCTTACCCGGAGTTTTCTGAAGAAAATGAAAGACTCCTTAACCATTCCCCAATCCGGACTGCGTAGGCTAGCTGCTGGTTTGGATGGGTTATCGCCATCGCCATCCCCGTCATTGGCTATCAGGACGTAGTCCAAAGCCGACAGGTTCAGGGTGCTCGTACCTGATATCGGCTGTCATGTGCTCTGCTTGTGCATGGTTCTACCCGCGTCTTTTCGCAAGGAGTCTCTGACGCCCACTTCTATAGGACAGATCACACACAGCAGATTGAGCAAGGGCTGGGGTGGTACTCGCTCCCGACCATCCCCAGTCGATCTTGAAAGCGGCATAAAGCTCGTCTCGTGTTTGTTGCAGTTGCTGCAAGCCATGTCCCAGTCGCCGGAGAACCGGACCATTGTCCTGAGCATCTCCTTAAAGCAGAAGGTGCGTGCGTATCTTACCCTTAATCACACGGGCGTGACCTTCTCAAGCAGGATTGACTGGCGTATGCCATCTGCTTCCAGTATAGTCCAGTTTCTGATTGATTCCTTAAATTCACCTCGGTTGATGTGGGCGATACCCCCAGAATATCGAGCATTTGGAACAGAGTCCGAACTAGTGGTCTCAATTGTATCAATTGACTCTGGAAGAGAGGGAACTCTTCGTTTGGAACTTGGAGCCCGAAAACCATATTTTGGCTGGATTCGGCAGCGTCCAACATAACCTGCAACGAGTTTCCTTTCATTGAAGTGGTAGCTATCGTCATGGGCTCTCGTGACGCTGAGCCACAAGCGCTTCTCACTTGGTACGAAGGAACTTTCTGCAAGAAGGTAAGCCTACTAACGGACCAGCCTCGGAGCACACCAAGCAAACAATTTCTTCTTGCTTATTCGCCGACTTTGGAGCCGGTCGGGAAGCGGTTAGGTCTGAGGAGAGAACTAAACTGCAACCAGAAAAGGCCGTTCGGTGTTCCTTTTGAATCAAACTATGAGCGGGCAGTAACGAAACGTGGTAACCTTGCTGCAGGTTATTGCTCGGCTGTCTGCAGAAGAGCTGGAAGCGCATCTGCCGTCGATCCTGCCGGAGCTGTTCAAGCAATTCGGAAGCCCCTTCCCCGACATTCGAAAGGTAAGCTTGGGCACCAGCTCCGTCAGTTTTTCGGTCATCATAGCGAATAAATGTGTCTGCCGTGGTTTGCAAGTTTCTGAAGTCTCTCTCGGCTGCTGGAAAGTGAGCACGCACTGGACAGGTCATGTGGCCTTCAGTGAGCACAACGGTGAAGCGGCCTCGAACGCATCGAAGTTCTAAATCTTGAGCAGATCCTTCTAATCGCTTTCCAGCGGCGCCAGTGCTTACCGTTTTCTCTTCAAAACCCGTTGACTGGGCTGCGAACATCCTCTTTTCCCTCGGGGCACCCCGTTCTCTGTTGGTATTATGAAGGAATACCTGCAAGCATTTTGTTTCCAGACAAAACTAGGATTGACGTCCAGGATGACCAGTCAGGAGGAAGGGGGGGGCTCTTTTCACATCTCAACTTTCTGACACAAAGTCCTGTGTTACTGTGAGCAGGCGGTGGTGCTGTGCCTGGTGGAGATGTACATGACGATGGGGAACGAGCTCATTCCCCATCTAGCGCAGCTCTCAGACATGCAGCGGAGACTGGTCTCGATATACGCCAAGAAGATCTCGGAGGTGAGCGCCGACCAAGCCGTTTGAGTTGACGCTCGAAAGAGCTCTTCAATTTTTGACGAACACGGCATCCTCATATCTCTTGAAGTGGTACAGTGTATTTATTTTGAGCCATGCAAGATCCTGCACGGCTTGAAGTTTCGAACAATGTTTCATGTCGTTCAGTGCGTCGTTCAGTGCGAAGCCAGAAACTGCCGACGTTCATATATGTGCTAGGTTCTACGTTTGTAATGGATGAAATACTTTCTGTTTGCAGACCCGCAGCAAGGAGAGGCATGACATGGAGGCCTCATGACAGTGCCTGCAGTTGCCGTGTTTGGAGAGCCTACACTGGATAAGTATGCATGTTGTCAGGCAAAGCCTTTAGGGTAAGGTGGGCGCCAGTACTTGGTTCTAGTAGCTTCGCATACTCAAGTGTGCGTCAACAATGGTGCACTCATAGATCAATCAGCAGCGAATGGTGAATCTAGATACAGTACTTACTCTGCTGAATGGGTGTTTTGTTGGACCCAACGTCAGTCATAATTACCCAGCCAATCATACCGGCCATTGCTGGCCTTCGGTATAAATCACTTCTGGTGGGCAGCGACCAAGCTGACGCCTACACTCTTCACCAACTCCGATCGCAAACCTGCCGACAGGTACTTCAATCAATGAAAATGCGTGCCAGGCTGCAGCCTGAGCATGAGATGTCAAGCTGGCTCATTTGGACCCTCCCGGCGGGTTCAAGTTCGATGCATGACTTAATCTGGCATGGTCCTGATACCGCGCTCTCTCATTGAAGCTGGTTGCAATCATTTCCAACGATTTATAGTGTTGCGTGCACATGGCAGACTGAGAGGCGCAATCTCAACTAGAGAAGGTGACTCGCTAGTGCGCCGCCGGCCGGCGCGGGGTCGCAATCGACTCGAGGACCGTGCCACGGTGTAGACCGTGACCCTGCAGCGTGCAAGAAACCATGTCGATGCTGATTCGCTAGCTGTAGCTCAGTGACGCGGCCTTTCACGTACATGATCGATCATGACCGAGTGCTTCCGACAGTTTTCGGCTTTGCATGAATATTGAATTGCCGGCACGCCACCGTTGACCCTTGGCAGCTTTGCTAAGTTCGCGGACGTTCCTTCATGTATTGTCTCATGTGCTGGGGCGGCCGGGCGGGGCCGGCCCGGGCCGCGCCTCCGAACAAGAGAAATAAAGCTGGCACGGGAAATGAGTTAGCATGCAGAACTTTCTTATTCCTCTAGCGCAGAAGGTGACCGGCCGTTTGGAAGATGTAGTGGCATATATCTGCACCGGGCCCCAAATCATTCTCCTTGCAGTACTCTTGCCAGGCCAATGTGTACGTTGCATGAACGTCAAACACTGAGCCCGTCATGCAGAGCTAGAACCACAGCTAGCCTGACGTTGATTGACTTCGGTTTGCCTCATGCTGCGTCATAGCCGTCCAGTTACCTCAAACAGTTGCCTGGAGGACGTCCGAGTGACCTTGGAGCATCTTCGCCGTGGCGGCCGTCTGATCATATCGAACCTCTAGTCCAGCGGCTTACACCTTGATATGCGCATGAAACTCTCAACGATCCGGCGCAGCTCGCAGCCTGCTTGCTGACATGCAAAATTGGAGCAAGGCAAAGAACGGGGAAGCAGGTCGAAGCAGATCGCCCGTTGCTGTGCTCACGAGAGACTTTTGCGGCTTCATCTCAGGAAAGAAACGATGGCAACGTAGGCCGGAACCAAGAAGTGCGGAAGGGATGAAGGAGAAAAGCCGGATCGGGCTTCGTGGAAATCAGATTTGACCAATGGGGCGCTATCAATGTTGAGACTTATGTGCTTATGCGTCAAACTAAATGGCTGGGCGGTCGAGGTCGGCCTCGCACACTACGTCTGCGATTATCTGTTGCGAAAAGCAGCATAGCTTATTGGGCGTCGCATAACTATGTGCCAGTCGCATGCGAAGCCTCTTTCATCTTAGCTGCCGAGACGTTTGTACCCGATATTGGGTGAACAAAACTTTCCACGTCCTTGTATGGCAAGTCCAGATTGTGAGGCGAAACCAAAGCCTTGCTCGTTCAACCAGGGGTACTGCCGAGGACTTATTCTTTCGAAAAACAAACAATCTTGGTAGAGATTGTCAGCCAAAACCCCATCGAATACTGTCTCTAGGTCGAGCGGCCCAGAGTTGCACAAAGTAAGATCACAAGCCAACATTAGAAGACCGCTTGTATCATTATCTGCCCTCGGACTCTCAAAGCTCACAATGATGTACATATTCGCCAGATTCGTGAACTTTTAACCGTTGGCTTGGCCACCGTTAATTCGTGCCCATTGAAGTAAAAGCCGTCAAGCCGCAGCACACTGCCCTGACTGTAGGTAGACAACATGGTCATTGCTCGGTCGCTCTTCAACATTAACGACGATAATCTTGTGAAGTTGCATTCCTTGAAAAGACTCTTTCACTATCTCCAGAATCATACGCCTCTTCCTGCAGTCTTGTCCACGCGAGAGGCCTTGAAGGGACTTGAAGCGTTCTTTGTCTTGAGATTCGTCTGATAAGTGCTGTGTTTATCCGATCATTGAGAACAGTGGGTCCGTGACCACCAGGCGGCCGCCTACTCTACATAAACTCATGACCAGAATTTTCGTAGTGTCCTTCGTTGCTGCTAGATTTTGTTAGATTCTCAAGCGAGCTCCCCGAGGCTCCTGCCAAGTTGGTTGTTGCCTTCACGTTGCCTTCGTGCCATCTGTACTTTCAAAGTCTTAAAACATCGCCCCCAGCTTTTTGCGTAAGTGCCGGGCAACGGTCAAGCGCCTTGCCATACATACGGCTCGTGGACTTTAATAGATTCCAGCAGATTTCGTCTCGGCCGGCCTCATGTCGAGCTCCAATTCCAAATCTTGTCGGTAGAACAGAGCTGTTCATGATTTCGCACGGGTCTGGAACAATGGTGTCTTCTAAGATATTGTAGTTTTGCAGTTTTCCATTGCATGCCCCGCTGACTTCGAGTCAAGCTGGGGAATTTGGTTCGGCATCGCTTACGTGACTTCTGAGTGTAAGTCCAAACCGGTCCGCGCGTCTCGAACGCTCTCTGACCGGGTAGTGCGCAAATTTTTGTGCGTTGCCGCAATTCCTAGTTTAATACTGATTCCATGCCCGTTTTGTGTATCAATTTCTGGTGGTTCCTTGAGGTCTGAGTCTTGAGAGTCTCTGGCGGATCGATGGAGACGGGGTCACTGGCCCGGGTGAATCAAGCTCGAATCAAGGAAACAACAGACGGGCTGGCGCCATGAGACGTCTCAGCATCTCGCTACAGGAACGCACACTTCTACTGGGCCGTGAAACTAGTAAGCAAAGATGTCGTAGTGCGGCGACTATGCGGCCGCGGCACACTGTTACTTGCGGCCCGCGCGCAGCGGGCGTGCATGATGCAGCAACTCCGCTCAGAATCGATCATCGGATCAGCGTGGTAACGGCTGAAAACTTTTCGATCAATGTTTTCATCCAGTCGCAATGCACGAATCAGAATCTATTACCGCAAGTAGTTTGGAAGTTACAGGCAACCGCCGCTTTCACCCGGACTCTCTTCTCGCCCAATCTAGATTGAATATAATAATACATCAAGCCAGGGGGACAAAGCTAGCTGAGCTCGTGCGAGAGATGCCAGAACTGGCAGAAGCCTGGCAGGATGAGCGGCCCCCCGGCTATGCGGCCCTCCCTGATGCGCGTGTTCCAGGTGGGGCTGTGCCTGGTGATCATCATCTACCCGCTGAGCTTGGCATACCGCTCGCGATCGTCAAAGGGAAACGAGGTGACAGAGGTTGAGGTAAGATCAGACGCAGGGCAAAGTTTTGTCCCGGTTGGAGCTGGAGTCAATGTGACGTCAAACCCTGCAGCTCAGAGGGAGGTGACGGCAGCAGAGGCCGCAGCTGACGAGCTGAAGGTGGAGGGGTTGGGGCGAGAAGCGGCGAAAGGGGATGTGGAAGAAACCCCTTTGGTGGAAGAGGTGATAGAGGACCAGGAGATAGACAGAGTTCAGCTAGAGGAAGATAAGGAGACGGAAGTACTGGAAGCAGTGATTGAGGAAAGTGCAGGGGCAGTAATAAATGCCACGAGTGTCCCCAATGAGAGTGAGACCAATCAGACTGAGACTAATGCAACTGAGCAAGAGATAGTTTCTCCTTTGAGCGACGGTGCACCAATTAGCAATGCCTCCAAGATAGTGGATCAGATCTACGTTGTGAACATCCCGCGGTGCGTCACCCGATGGAAGTGGGTGCAGAGCGTTGCTGACAGTCTGGGGCTGCCAGTGCTGAGGTGGGAGGCGACATCGTGGCAGGACATTGACTTCCAGAACCCGCCGCTGCCCCTGGAGATCGATTGGTCAACACAGGCTGGGAACACGCTGAAGGTGAGAGGATGCCTTGTTGGAAGGGTTTTCGCGGAGGTTGGAGAAGGAGCTGTTGGCAGGGAGAAACTGGGACGAAAGAAGACGCTTCAGATGCTGGACGACTTACAGGGCCTCCTTCTTTGCGCTCTGGCTTCGCATCTCAAAACAGTTCAATTTCAGTGCTCGCAATGGCTTCCCATTCTGGTTGTGCTTGAACCGGAGAAGTTCACTGATGGTGGCATGTTTGGGATCAAAGAGACGGATATACGGGGAAACGACACTGTCCGCTTAGCTGGCTCTACGGGCAAAGAGGCAATTGGTATCTTTTGCCCTTGTTGTTTGAAGTAGTCTGAGGGTCAGGAATGCATCAAACACCGCTCGATGTGCTTTGAGTGGGCACCTTATGTGACTGGCAACCTTGTGCGAATAGCGCCGGCTTATGTATCGTTCAGAAAATTTACCTTTGCACTCTGATTTACACAGGCAACTCAGTCAACAGCTGATTTGAGGTTATCATCTTCCTGTCAGTATGCACCTCGATTCGATCTGAAAAAATCACAGCCCATCAAATCAATTGGGCGCTTGTTCACACCGCTTCTTCGGAACCGATGCAGGCTGGTGAGCTGGGGTGTCTCTGGTCCCATGTGCGGCTCTGGCGGCATGCCTACGAGAACAACCATCAAAGAATCATAATCTTTGAGGACGATGTGTTCCTCAATGAGACGGCGCTTCCTCTCTTGGAGGGCTTCTTCAGGTAAGGTGTTTAAAATTTTCCGGGTTCTCATGTTTTATTGCTCTACATGGTTGAGCACTTTATCTTGTTCGACCAATAAAAGATGCCCAGCACTGATGGATCTTTCAATCCAGTCAGACAACAGGACTTGTACTTCTCTGAGCAAGGGATGGTGTGCTTGCATCTCGTCTCGTCGCTTCCCACAGTTGTCGATCGGTTTGCCAAGAACTAGCAAAGTCTTGCTTAGAGCCTGGTCGAGGTTTGTCATTCGCAATGGAGCAGGGTCTGGCTTTGTTAGAAGGTTGGGCTTGCTACTACAGGCATCGGTGCATATCAAGAGGAATAGAAATTGCTATCCTGCGCTTTTGCTAGAAGTGAAAGGCGAACGGACTTGAGAGTTTGTTTGGACTTCTGTCAAGAAGTTGCGGGGTTGATCGGCCAACTTTACAACCTCTCCACTTGATCCTTCACCTTTGAAAAGCTTCTCCGCTCTTCAATCTGGAGGTCACCCGTTTGACAACGATATAGAGTTGAAATGCAACGAATTGTTCCTGCATGCGAAGCGCTTTTTATACCATCCGGAACCATGAGTCAGTCAGATTGAAGAATACGAGCCAGGCGATTGCCCTTGCATGCCGCCAGACTTTTACACCGGAAACAATTGCATCGATGTCGGTTTTGGCTTCGGCCTCGCCGGCAAAGTTTCGGTTTCGTTGGCTACTCGTCGGCGTTCCTCTGAAAGCTTTGAAGGCTTTGACGGCCAGCTCTTTACCACGGCCTTTCTGATTTTTCGCTGACACAGCCCATCCTTCGTTCATACAGGGATGCGGATTTGGGTGCAGAGATGCGCAACCAGTCGTGGCATTACATGTACCTGCGGCGGTGGCCTCTTATGCACATAGCGGACGAGCAGGCCTGGATTGAGAACCAGACCTCCGGTCGGGTGCTGACCATTGCGCACCCCAGTTGGGGAACGGCTGCCTACGCCCTTAGTAGGGCCGGTATAGAGTGGTTAGTGAACGCGATTGACAAGTACTATAGGCCGTTGGACGTCCAGGTAGCGAAGTTTCAGGAGAATTATGAGTCGACCAAGTTTATAGCACTGAGCGCCTGTGATCGCGATCACTTCCAGGTGCTGTGCCCGGAGAACGTGCAAGTTATTCCTGACACGATGCAGGGAGAGTGCGGTGGGTCGATGAGTCAGTCGGGGGGCGGGTTAGCCGGGCCTATTCGGACATTGCTAAGATACCTAAGGCGACTAACAGGGATTGAAACAGATTTGGAAACAAGTTTGAGGCGTAGGTTGTACTAATCTGCTTACGAAGAGCCCCTTTGATCGTCATGGGGATGTAGTTGAGAGAGTGTTTGTAAGTGACTCGAATTAACTGTTGAATCCCGCTTTGAGAATAGTGAATTAATGCAGATCTGTAGTCACGTGTACGGATGACCTTCACCGTGCTGTTCCCTTCTCAAGTTCGAAACGCTCGTGGCACCGCCCGGTGACCATAGGCCGCATGTGGTCCGGACTCGACGTAGCCACACCAAGGCATGGGCCTGAGTTTGATTCTTCGCAGCATAACCCCAACAGCGTGACCCTTTGCAAAAACGTTGGATACCAATTTAGCCTGTAGCATTATTGAATAGTAGAATCGGAGCCATGCAGTTGGATTGTACGTACGGACATAATTCTCACCAATCGCAGTTCGGAAACTCAATCGTTCTAATGCAGCGGCGCGCGGCAGGGGCCGGTCGGACTTGCAAAGCTGCTTGCCAGCAAATCGAGGCAAAATTATTGCATGTGGTCGGACCATGTAGCCGGTGCATGCTCATGGCGGCCACCCGCCGTAACTGGTCGGTGCAAGTTGACTTCCTAGCTTGAACAAATCTCAGACCGGCGATCAAGCTATAGTCATGCGTATACTGCATGGCATGCCCGGCCGCGGGGCACATGAGATACCCCATGATCGAGCTAATTCCTGGCTATACCTAGATCCAGATCACTAAAGCCGCCAACACTTATGTAAGCGCTGGAAAGTACGTAGAGCTCTGCAAAATTACGTGCTACAGCGAGTTGCATTGCGGCAAATATTCGACTCGCCGTATAATTCCTCAAATTATGGCAAGCATGCCCGGGCCAGGTTCGAATTCTCGATTGCGGTAATTGGCTTGCTGCAATATCGGGGACATACTGTTCAGTACACCCTGCGGTTGGAATTTACACGAGTCCTCAGCTAGCTGCTCATATGAATTATAAACAGGTAATTACAACCTGGATCGCAAGCTTACATAGTCCTCATCTACCACAAACTTTTCCAAGTGGTGGAGGCATTAGTGCTGCCAACTGTTGCACCACGTCGTTTATCCCTGCATGCTCTAATAAGTGTCGGTATTCTTATAAATACTACATCTACCTGCATGACTGTTTCAGGAAGCCCCTGCCTTGCGACCTTGCTCTAGAACACACTGTTGCAACTCCCCAGGTTGATCGAGAGCGTCGAACCGCTCGCATCGAACTTGAGCGACTGGCAACACTGTCTCCGAAGGTTCGGCCCTTTTGACAACCCATCCCGGCTCGTCGAATACGGCAGCGCCTCCCGTACCACTTTCACCTGGGAGATGCGAGTGATGTGGGGCGAGCAGGACGTCTGGTTTACAGGCACCTTTCTAGAGTACGTACTCTCTATCTTGTTTCCTGCCACGGGCCGAATGTCGTCGATCCACAGATCTACCGGAGTGCCGCACTGGCCCCCTTCGACCGGCACCTCCGGGCGCGTGTCGAACGTAAACTGCTCCGCCCAATTTCGCCAATGATACGACATGAACGTCGTTTCGATCCGCTCTAGTTCCCCAACACGCCACGCCCCGATCGACAGCTTCACGGAGTAGCCCCACGAGACCACAACCGAGAAGAGCTTCCGCTGGTCCACGCAAAACGCCGTCTGGAGGAAGTTGACGGGGTCCGCGTGCATGCCACGTGTCAGCCGCTGGAGGGCGTCCATGTGGGTCATGTTGGGGAAGACGGGGTCCCAGTGCAACACGTGGTGCATCGAGACGAACGGCGCGAGCGGGTGCGCTTGCAGGAACCCCGCGACGTTCCCCTTGAGGTCGCACTGGTGGAACCCCCTGACACGTGTCACCTGCACGCCGAGCTCCGCCGTGCACATGTGCACGCGCGCGTCGCTGCCCCAGAGCTCCGGGTAGCGCTCGATGCACGAGTCCATGGTGTGGGACAGCGCGTGCGCGAGCGGCCAGCTGATGGCGATGCCGCCGCCGCCGTAGGCCATCTCGAAGCCGTTGATGACCATCTGGCCGTGCGTCTCGCTGTTGCCGCCCAGGTACAGCATCTCCGTGTGGTCGTACCTGCGCCGAGGGGCGAAACAAGGGGACCGTTAAGGACTTGAAAACCTGATCACAAGCGTCGGCCTGAAACCCGCAGCGGTTCGAAGGATTGTAACGGGCAGCATGTCGGTGTCTGACAGCGGTGGAGAAAAGTTTGACGCCCGCTGACGGATCATACATTTCCGAAAGCGGAAGAGCTCTCCAACGGAGTTGCGGAACCCCTAAGGCTGAAGCTTCGATGGAAGACGAGTGCGAGGTTAATCGGCTGCTCTGTGAGCCCGCTTATGGAAGCACTTCCTTCACTTCGATGAAGACGAGTGCGGTTCTCTAGTGATTTGAGTGGACGGCTCTGTGAGCCGGCTTATGGAAGCACTTCCTTGGGGAGAAACTCTTTGGACGGGCAACGGCCAAAACCGAAGGTACGACAGCGTCGCCTCTTCTGAATAAAGGAAGCTTGAGAACGACACTGCCAGCCAGTAGCGCTTGAAGTGATTTACAGGGCCCATCAAGGGGGGACCCAAAGGTAGCAACTGTTTGCAGCATTTGAACGAACCCTCGAAAAAATCAGCTTGGCATGTGTCAACTCTGCTGATCCTTTGGTCTTGAGCTCGTTGAATGAAGATGCTAGAACTACCCATCACCCAATCCAACAGAGAGCAATCCTTGAGGCCGATCCGCAGCATGGAGGTGCCCATCCCGTGGCAGGATTGCGTAGCAGTTGAACTTGATCGGGACGGGGTCAAGTGAGTCGTACTTCGAGCCTTCGCAAGAGAAGACAGGGCTGCTGTGCCTCACCCGGCTAGCACCTCTGCCAACACCTCCGGGTTGAAGATGGTGTCATCGTCGCCCATCACAAACCATCGCACGTCTGGCAGCTTCAACCTGGGGAAGGTGACATAGACGGCGGTTATCAGTAGAAGCCCCACTGGTCGATTCCTTTTTGGAAGTGATTTGTCAGGCAGAGATGGATGAGAATAAGTATTTAGGATCAAAAGGTCCATCCAAGACCGCGTTTCGTGTCAGGCGGTTCTGTGAGAAAATGGAGCGTTGACTGCGAACGGGCGGGTTTGACCAAGGGGATAGAAATGACAGCCACAAGTGCGTCCTAAGATTTTCAAGATGACTCTCAGGCAATCTCCTCGTTTCAGAAACAGAATCGGAGGACGTGCACACGTCTCTCCAGATCAAAGCTGGAGACAACGTCGAGTCGGAGACTGCTTCCTACAACCATGACAACACCAGCAAGCCTCCCATCTTACGCCTGGCGTTATGCACAGCTCACAGCAACAGATCAAAGGGCTTGAAAGAGGAATGATCACCCAAAGACGAACAGTTTATCGAACCAGAACATCTGTTCACAATGGAAACATTATTCCAAGAGTTGCCAACCATGTAGGAGTTCCGCACCTGTATGCCTCCACCACAATCCTGGCTATTCGGAGGCACGAGCGAGGGCCCCCACCGCTGTAGGGGAGCGATGACGTGTCCCCCGAGATCTGGGGTTCAGGAAGCCCCTCCGTCTGCCAATCATAACCGTCAACAGGAGAATCCAACCAGACATAGCCCCGTGTCTTGCTGGGGCCCCACCACAGCTTGATGAGCTCCTTCCTGGTCTGGTAGTTCTGGGACGAGGACCCAATGCCAAAGAGAACGTGCTGTAGGCCTGCGTTGAGAAAAGGGTAATGTTGAGACTCAAAACAGCTTCAAATGGATTGCGCAGAAAGCAAGCCCTTGGGCCAAGTTATACAGGGCAACGAAAGCCACAGACGCCAAAGTTCATATCGACGCCTGAGCTGTTTGTTTGCCTGGGGCAACAAAACCAGTGCCGCAACTAATGTTACATAGAACAAATTAAGAACTATGGTACCACCGGAAAATCAAAGATGCCCTGCTGGTAAACACAGCCATTTCGAAGACATAACCATGGAGGAAGACGCCCCACTCACCAAAGAAGCTAAGTTGGGGTCGAACACCCACTATTACTAAAGTCAGAAACGATTAAGTTCCGCAGAGCTTCGTATCAAAACAGGGTGGCAGTGAAGGTTGAATTCAAACACGCAAACAAAAATTGAAACAAGAGCATTTTTCTCAGGTTCATGGTTTCCAGGAACTGCATTAGACGGCCAGCTGAGAAGAAACAAGGTATGCGGACCAACAAATTTTGCAGTAAACCTTGAGATCTGACCTTGAGATCGAAGAATGGAGACTGTGAATCAAGAGAAGTATGGCAAAATGCTGGAAACAGACACTGGGGTGCAACTTTTGTCACAATGCTGAGCAAGCACAGCTGCCGGGTAACTTCTAGCTCAGCGGATTTGTTTTCGCTCGACCTGGGGGGCCTTTAGGGAAGGCAAAGCACCAAAGAGGCCTTCTTAAAGATGCTTGCTTCTATCAAAGAGCCCATACTGAGCTCGGTCCTGCCAGGCGAAAGAAGGTCATCGTGTGCACAACATTGTTGTCTTAGCAATGCTAGCAAGGATATCAGTGAAGGGGGTCAAGGACGCCCAACTTTCACCCCTCCCTATTGATACACAGTGTATTGCATACATGCAGATCAAAGAACTAAATTCAGGTAAAGTGCTCCTTCTTCTCAGCTTGAGGACAATAAGTGCAGTGTCACAATGAAAGCTTAGGTGCTCCCTACTTTGATGTGACATTGTTCTAACAATTGCTGGTTTCTCTACGCCTCAGAATCCTGTCAAAACAAGTTACAGAACGAACTTAGGCACCCTCACCTGTTTTGGTTGGAGCCATCAGTGACTCAGTCCCCACCCAGGGCCCGTCCCATGAAACATTCCTCTCTTCCAGCCCTGGCGGCCCATCCACAGGTCTAGGCCTGCCCCAGGCCGCTGCAGCCTGTACCGATCCACTGCCTATCCCTGACCGCACCTCATGGATCCTCTGTATGGAATCCACCTCTGCCGGAGAGCTTACGCCCGTGTTCACACTGATAATCTGTTTGCTAGCTTCATTTGTCCAAAAAAGGGTAAACGCTACTCCGACCAGAAAAGACAGGATGGGAAAGATGGCTGCTTTGAGCCTCTGCGCGTCGACCACTCGAGGTTTCATTTTCAATCCAGTTGCTTCACCACCTTGAATGATCAAGGCTTCAAAGTCTCGCCCTTCGAAGGCCCCTGGGTCAAGTCCCTGTCCTTCCATCCACTGCCAGGATAGGATCCAACATGGCTTCCTAGCTGTGAGACTTAAATACTGTAGCCTGATTGCAATTGTAGCCGTCGATCTTTCAACTTCAAGTTTCACAACACTCAGCGATCAGCAAGCTCAACTGCGGGTCACATAACCTGATGCAACCCCCTGGTTGCTCTACGCTTCAAGGGCGAAGGGCTCCTCGCCCCATGAAAGTTGAGCCTTCTGCCCCAGTGGTCTAGCTGACCCAGCTAAGGAAAAGTATTGAGCTCAACGCGGCAACTCCTGTTCACAGACTTACAATCTCCGCCTCCCTCGAGTTCAAACTGGTAAAACTTTTTGCCAAGCGCAAGGTGCAATTGCGGCTTTCCAATTGTGCATCCTTCAGGATGAGAAGCAAATTGCATGTTGAGTAAGTTTGTCTGAGAAAACCTGAGAAGCAGGTTTTGCATCCTCCTTTTTCAAGCTGCAGCTGCTGATTTCAGCTGCGTGCAGATCTTCTCAGCACAGCTACATCATATAGGGTGCTGAGCACAAGTGTACGAGGGAGAGCTCAGAGGCAGCAAGAGAGAAGAGCGCCCAACAAATGCAGTCCTAGGTAGGCAGCGCTAGCACCCGCAATGCAAATGCCGTGCTTGCATCGACGCCAGCGAAGCGTCGAGAGTTACTTCCTGCCTCCATCCGACGGCAGTAAGCGACCGGTATAGAATCCAACTGCCCAGATGCCTAAGGAACCGGAACCGTCGATGCTTAGCGGTTGGAGTTTGACGATGCAGATTGGATACGAAGAACCACCCGTATCTTGGGGAACGGCTGAGATGCTTCCAGCTGGCAGAATGCAAGCCTCCAGTCTTGCCCCTTGCCCTGCGGCTTGACATGGGTGGCAGGGATTGGATAGGTCTAGCTAGGCATGGTTCTAGAAGTGACGTATGAAGAGCACTTCAGTTGATCATTTTCGTGTTTACCAGGCAGCTGGTCATCCTCGAAAGCGCCCGCTTCGATACTCACGACGAAGTGCAATGGCGTCTGCTGTCAATGCCGTGGCTGCTGCGAGCTCCGCTGCGAGCTTGGCAGTGTCCGCTGGTGTGAGCGGAAGAGGCGGCGTCAGCGCCACGGCGCTTCCCCTGCGGCGGCTTGAGGCTAGGTATGCACAGAGTCTTGCAAGCCTTTCCTGTTTTTGCTTGATTCTTTTTCTTGGTGAGAGATACATACATTATCATGTTGGTCGTTGGAAGGCAGTGATACTGTTGCATCCTTGAAGAGGCGATGGCAAAAACTGGGTTTGACAGACTTGTTCTAGTAACTATCATTCTTGTTTTGGAACTTGATGTCAACGTCTGCACACGAGGCTTGCGAATGTGTGTCGGTGTACTGTTGAACATCTTCTCCATATGAGGGATCTGAGCACATGAGTAACCACTCTCTACGTTGCTGACATATGCATTTGCACCTGGCAAGAAAGTGACCTGCACCTGCTGAGTGACCGAGCTCTAGTCCTTTCTATTTTCTCAGATCTTGTCAATATGATACCTCCATGGCTTTCTTTCATCTCCCTTTGACCATGTCTTTTATCATTCCGCCAAGAGGAAAGACACTAGTCAGATCTAAGGTAAACAAATGTCAAGACACGAATGTGCAGACGCGAATGTGCAAAAACAGCTGACTTTAGCGAAACCCTAAATATTTTTCCAAACAGTGATTCTTACTTTCATGGTTGTTGATGCCAACAAATGTGGCACACATTCGTCATTGCAATCTCCTTCTGCAGCATTATTTGGAGGATCCATATCTTTCTCGGGGTGCTGCTTCACCCACATTGGATCTTCTAGCAATGCTGATAGATGAGACCAACTTTGAAACAGTTTGTGTGGATATTGTCTTGCATTGTGGTCAAACATCTCCGTTGATCATATTGCTGGGGCCAACAGGTTACTGTGCAAATCTATAGTCACGGTAAAGCTATCATCTCATACAACATACCTTGCACAATGCCGAGCTCTGGAAACATGACCTTTTCTGAGGTATAAGGCTGTCACCAAAAGTCAAGTACATCCTTTACCCTGAGGGCAACTCCGCGAACATCAGGGAATACGTTTTGCATCTTCACATTGGGGTATAAAGAGATTTCTTGGCATGTATCATCATTTCGAAAAGAGTGGAAGACATAGGTACACAATATCAATGAATGCACTAAGCGTGCAGTTCAAGGTGGAGTCATACATCAGCAATTCTTTTTTTGGTTCTTCTGCAGGTCAGCTTTCACAGGCCGCTCTCTTTTGCCACATGTCGCCCCCGCTGCTTCTCGCAACCAGCGGAAGGCGCCATCAAAGTTTGGTGTCAGAGCTTATGAATGGCACGAGTATGATCCCAATGAGGAGTTGGCTGAGCTCGACATCCGGGAGTGGCCGTATAAAAAGTTCGTTGAGGAGACCTTGGAGGCATTCCCAGAGAAGATGATTGCGGATGTGGAGGAGGCCAGAGTGAGCACCACCGCTTTTCCTGCACCACTTTCCAGCAGTCCTTGTTTGAGCTCACCAAAATAACTGTTCCTACCTCTCTTTGTCTTCGCACTTGAGGGGAGTGAATTTACCTTCCTTTCTGGAGAGATTGGAGAGAATCTGAGTACTTGACGGTAAGAACATCATCAGCTCGGAATAATGCAAGGATTATGTCATTCTCAAGAGATATCAAGTATGCAAATTTGAGAACACAAATGTGAAGTGCCCGGGTATCTTTAAGATGGATACCTTCTTACTGCAAGACCAGCTGGACACAATTGAGCTGGTGGTGAACACGTCAGCCTATGACTGGCTGCTGTTGCATGCCAAGGGTAGCGCATGGTTCTCTGGCAGCAGCATTTGATGGTGGTCGAATTACTTCCTTGTTCAGGCCACCATGTGCTGCATCTGCAAAGCCGTAATCGTTTGTTGAAAACTTCAATCCCGTAAAGTCACTGCCCTTCTTTTTTTTGAATCTCTTCCACACCGCTTAAGATGGACGAAGTCGGAAACATCCTGGTCATTACAAGACCTTGTCAGTAGAGGGGATTGCCTTTCTGCAAGAGCAGAGCACACCTGAGACATCCCAATCTGCAAACCAGGCAATCATAGACATTGAAGACCATTGTAACAAGTGTCTCTACATATAGCCTGCAAACAGTCTTTGAATCAGCTGTTGCTTTCCAACTGCTGTCACAATGTTCTCAATAAATCAAGTACAAGTACAAGTTTCATCTGGATTCTTTTGCCACTTCGCTGCGCTTGTCACCACTTCTTCTGGTCTGCTGTTCACAACCCAACGAAGCCATACTTACAGTGAAGTGGTGACAAGCTTTACCGGCCTAGTTAAGTGCCAATCGGACTCTGATCCACACTTCAACAGCTATGTCCCACTTGACATCGTGTCGTGGGAGGAAGGATCTCCCGTCTAACAACTACTGAAACCTAACTCCTGTTCTGTTGGCAGGTGCTATACGAGAGTGGTTATACGTATGTGGATGTGCGTCCCGCCCTTGAGCTTCAGGAGGTTGGCAAAGTGGTCAACTCCGTGAATGTCCCCTTGTACAACGCAAAGAGGGTCTACTCCAAGGCGGAGCACAAGAAGGTCGTCCAAAAGGAGGAGAACAAGGACTTCATGAAGCAATTTGAGAAGAAGTTCCCCAACAAGAGTGCCAAGCTGGTAATTGCATGCTCGGATGGTCAGACCTACTCCATGCCAGCACTAGAAATGCTTGACGAGGCCGGCTACACAAACCTGGTTGCTTTGAAAGGGGGCTACTATGCGTGGTTCCGCGTGTTTGACAACAAGTTGAACCGGCGGCGGTCGGGCGACTACGCAGAGGACTTCAGGCATGATGCAGGTTCAGCTGGCATCCACGCATCTGGGGCAGGCTTTGAAAAGATGGATGCAATTGAGCAATGGGTGCCCCCATCCTATTAGAGAGGACAGCAAGAGATCGACATTGAGATAGGTTGGTCATAACACTGAGGCGGCCTTGGTTACGCATCAGGTAAATTTTGGGACGCCGTTCTGCTATAATTTGCTTATTTACCCCAGTCACGCTTAGCAATAGACCTCCATCTGGAGTTTATGGATCTCCTATGGATCTGCTAGTCGATCGGACAGAGAAAGAGCGTCAGTTGGCTTCTTATAGTGCCCAGCATTAAATGAAGAAATCCTGTGGGCATGGCTGGACAATGGTCGCTTGGGTTCAGGTTGATATGTACTCGTGCTTGGTGAATCGCCGAGCTAGTTTTGCGCCTTGCGAAAGTTGTTATTGAGGGTGACAAGTTGACATGCTGCGGTCATTGCATAAAGGTGTTGTGGTACACTGAATTCAGAGTTGCATGATATTTGCATGCATGCGCCATTGAAGCCGGCGTCATTGCATGTAGTTTTGATACATGTCGGAGGGCCCCCGAACCCCAATGATACGTTTATGCACATGGTCGTGCTTTAAGTGGCCCGGCCATCCAAACTCGGATGATTGTGCAGCTCTAATACGGTATAGTACTCGATGCAATGGATGCATGCCCCGGCGATCTATAACGTCACTGCACATATTGGTCCTTCTATTCCGGACTTTATATACAGAGAGCTCATGCATGTGCATGTCCGATTCAGGCCACTTTAGTAGCTTTTTAATCACGTCGGTACGAAAGCTCTGTAGCTTGCCGCCACCCGGGCGGCAGATCTAGCTATACTAATACCTGTATACTCGATCGAAGTATTATAAGCGCGCGGGCCGTGTCTCTTTGGAGTACGGACACCATTAACAAAGATCGTGAAACTTCTCAACTTGGTTGACCCCGCATGCTAGTAAATATATCTGGCAGGCAGCTTGGCATACGCACAGGGAAACACGACGGTTGCGCCTTTACCTGTCCATTGCAAGTGGTCATGGATGATTGTTGATTCATGCATACATGCTCCAATCGACTCGATTAGCAGCCCGTCGTTGTCGAGTCCATGCAGTGCTACACTGCGTCATACCTTCAAAAGGAAATCGAGGTGAAAAAACGCGTATTGTATACTGCAACTCACGAGTGTGCCTCGATTGCTCGCCATGCTGCCCACTCTTTGACTCGGTTTGGCATTGGTGCAATGCAACAACGGCGGAGTCCGCTCATGATATATGTGGCAGCCGGGAAGTAACATTAGGCAACTCGCGACATTTATGCAAGGTCAAAGCCAGATCATCGGCCCCGGCAAAACCTGCCCAGGCTTTACACGGATTTTCAATGACTGTGCTCAAATCTTGCGCCTAAATTCACCATAACATAAGCTCGTGCACCGGAAAGGGCCGTGGATGTCTTCAGCCAATCTAGGCCGTAGCAAATGGAAGGGACTACTCCTGCGGCAGTGACGGCCGCTCTGTCCGGTGCGGTAGGGGTGGGGTCTGCGACAAGAGGTCAAGGGATGATCAGGAGCTTTTCAAATCTAGAACGGCAACTCACCCGCCTGGACAGCAAAGGTTATCTCTCTTTCTGCAGATTTTCTTCGGCCAAGGTCCATCGATGAGACCAACATACAGAGGTCCATCGATGAGAACAACATACAGAACAACGTCGTACACGCTGCAAAGAGTTTGTCTTAAAAAAACGCTTACAAGTGCACTAAGTTCGTGGAAGAGCACCTTTGAAATCAAAGACATGACGAAGAGGCAATCTTCCAGAAAGCAGCCTCTTTGCCTGCTTTGTAACCCATTCGATACCTCACCTGTGAGCGGTAAAGGTACCGTCCTTCGGGGGGCGGGTCGATCCCAAGCTCGCTCAGCTGCTTCTTCGGGATAGGCCGCCTGTGTAAGAAGACCAGATTGATGCCATAGGGGGGTCGACAAGCACTTCGAGAATGATTCTTCTCCATATTCGATAACAAAAGACCGCCTTGAGATCACTCAGGTCTCCAAAGCCAAATGGGCCTCCTGTTCGTCAAGGTGCGTGACATGAAGCTTGACGGGTTGAACGTCGTGCATTCTGTCGACGAAAAAGACAAGTCGATAGACAAGCAGACTGCGGAAGCCGAGGGCAGAAGCAAGAAGAAATGGCCGTTGATACACGGATGCGAATCCATGATTGGAAGGCCTGATGAGAGAGTAATTCACAGTGGCGCGCGGAACGGCTTGTCGCGGCCGCCAAATCGCAGCTGCCCGGACTCCTTGAACCCGCTAAGGCCCCCGCCTGCAAAGAATGGTGGCGTGGTTTATAGTCGTCGTTAGCAGAAACCCTTGATATGGGTGGCATTAGTAGCATTGACCTTAGCGGAGCGCCTTAACGCGGACGCTGCATGGGAGCAGATACTGACGACCTGGAATGGATTGCTATCCAGATTCTTGGAGAGCTGGACGTACCAGGCTGCTTTTCTCAAGATCTTTCGTTGATTACTTCATAAAGGTTGAGAAACGGATCGTTGGTAGAAACGATTAGGAGGTCCGAAGCGGGTGAGTTGTGATTTGGCACCAGGATACGGTATGATCTACAGTGACTAAGAGCTTGCGATGTAACAGCTTATCCTAGGTCCATCACCACAGCATTACTGGTTGGATTCCGACTGTTCGACTGGTGGGAAACTCCAAGTTGCCTGCTTGGTCCTCTTGTCTGGCGAAACCGGTGTTGGGACGGTGAGAAGACTCTCGAGGGAGCTTTCCTTCGCCCGTCAAGGTCACGCATAAAGCTGAAAGTACACGCGTTGACGCTTCCGGTAGACGCTTCATGCGGTACGGTTGGGCTCCTTGACCCAAAGGTCGACATTTCCAATTCAACGTCTGATAGGGTGAAGTCAGAGAGCGTGCGTACCGAGTCGTCGGGGGATCCAACCGGGCATGAGCTGCTGGCGGGTGTAGTCTACTAAGATCTGCGACCCGTCAACCACCTCTCGATGCATGCGCTGCAACACAGAAGGACGTTCCGGTTATCGAAAGCACATTACCGTTTGGTTAAGCGCCCCTCTGTTAAAGAGGAACAAAGTATGTGCTATGACGGAAGTGAAGTAAGGAAAAACTCGGCTGCGAGATGACGGGATCTCTCGTCAGCGGTCACACAAAGGGGAAACGTTTCCGCATATCCCTACAGCAGAGATCGAATGGACCACGCTGACTTGGGGGATTCTCAAGAGCTCGAGGCAGGCAAATGTAGGATTTATCAGAAGTGCTGATGCAGAAGTCAGATAAAAATTCCAGTGGATGTCTTCGATGCGAAATTTCCGGCGAAAGGAAGGCGCCTCGACGAAGTGAGGACCAATCGGAACCGCTGCGTGAACCAAGCAACGGGGCTGCTAGCGGCAACATTGGCGGTCGCAATTTGGACTGCGAGAACTGTGTTCAAAACACAGCCGCGCCTGCCTCACCCGATACGCGCGCCGCATCCCTTCTTCGCTCTCGTACTCCACGAAGGCGTACCTCCTCGAAGCGCCGGTGACTGCAAAACGCAGCGTCCAGTTAGTGGAAAGACACCACGTAACCGAGGTGTGGGAGAACGCGTTGTACTGGCTTCTGGTATAATTCCCCTACGGGAAGTAGATTTAGAGGTCAGGAGAGGGAAAACGGCGTCGAAATTGGACGACAGGGCGATAGAGCTTCAAATTGTTGTCGACTGGAAGGTGGCAGCACAGCGGGCTAAGAATGCCGGCTACAAAACCACGAGACTATCTGTGTGTTCTGTCCTTTATTGGTGGTCAAGAATGTTCCGGGATATAAGAGGTGGTCAAGAATGTGTCGGGATAAAAGACTGAGGCCTTCGGAAAGCAGACGAGAAACCTTTTGGAATCTATGTGAGGGCAATTAGTGGAGCAAGCGTCCAACACGTCTGACATTGTGATCAAATTCAAAAAGACGGGTCGACCTTGCGAATTTGAGCTCAAATTCTGCCGGGTCCTTCGACGTCAACCCGGAAAAAAGTCAGGAAATGCACTCGAAGGGGATTGGCAGTACCTAGAAATCCAGCATCCGCTCTGTAACAGATTTATCAAGCCTGGTACGTCAGTAACTTCGTTCTGTGAAAAACTCACCAATGTGTCGGACGATTCGAAGCTTTCGCACTCGCCCATATCGGCTGGCGACCTGGGAACAGAAGCTTGATTCAGCACGTAATAGTAATATTGAAAATAATGACAATGCTACAATCCAATAATCCAGCTTGCGACTGAGGCAGACAGTGAACGGGCAGTGAGGTTGGCGAGATGGCATGACCGGTGAGCTTCATGTATAACCTGACTACAGACGACCTCATTTTGAAGTGGTGAAAATTGACCTACAATCCCAATTCGGCAACAAGAGTCGACAGGGTGCAATCCGGGCATGTCGAAGCTCGACGATCCCAACCAATAGCCTGACAAAGATCCACGTCATAAATTGAGCCTTTCAGACCCGCCCTGAAAGATGGAATTTCCAGTCGCTTTCCATTCACTTCACACGGGATTGAGCAAAGAACATCGTTGCAGCCCTGTCTGACATCAACACTCTATTTCGGGCTACAAGCCACGTAAGTGATTGCAGAGCCGTACCACTGGATAAACGCCAATCAAAGCGGGTGGTTATTGGCACTTCAACCAGTTCAAACAGAACACCGCAACCGCTTTTAGCACATTCAGGCTGGCTATCTTCGACCTGATAGTAGCAAGGACTTTCAGATTGAAAGATCATCCCCCAAGGCCTTTCAAATTGAAAAATCATCCCCCAAATTTTCTGTGATTGAATGGAACTGCCTTTGCACAAGACAATCGGCCAGACAGACAATGACAAAGATGCCAACTTGAGAATCCATTGATGATAAGGCCTCACCTCATGTAGTGTGGTTTCAGTCGTCTTCTCTGCGAGTCGGCCCACAAAGATCACGCAGAAGGGGTCTTTGTTAGCTGCCACGTCTTTCTCGGGGTGGTCTGCACAAGAGATACGAGTTTTCATTCTTATACGGCAGCAATGCAAGCTGCCCTCTTGTGTTTGAGAATGGGCTTTCTGAAACTTCCGATTGCCAAGGATTATCATTAGCATACTAGAAGGCAGAGCCGGAACAGGTCACTGAACGCAGGAAGAACCATCCGCTGCCTTTGAATGTGACAGGTTGCAAGACTGAAAAGGCGAGGAGAGGCGAGAGTCTGACACTGAGCACTATTGACAAAGAGAGAGTTTGAAAATACCGATAATATGCAGAGAGACGACCTCCAAAATCGATCTCCTGGCACTTGAGGGATACTTGTTTTACAATTACTTCCGAGCGCTCATTCAGTTACTAGGATTCATTGACTTTCTAAAGCGAATGGAAAATCCCCAGCGATCAACAGCTGAACGGAATGTCAACCACCCTTTGAAACGTAACAAACATACCAAAATCTAAGGGACACGCTTGAAGAGAAGAAGATTATAATCACCTACATAGCTTCAGGTCTTTCACGACAAGGGCGCGTGAGATGGCTCTGTCATGGGGCTCCGTATCAGTGCCGTCAATCGACCCCGCTTGGATTGGATGGTAGCTCCGAGAGTAAAAGACACCCTTGGTTGGGTCTGCCATTGCAACACCATGCGAATTCCCCCACGTTTGTCAAGGCTGCCCCAAACACAGCTGGTGTGGGGCGATCACTATGAACTGGGAGGCAATTTGGGGGAGCTGTCTCAACCAAGTCTGCAGGAGAAGGTTCACCTACCCCAAGCGATCACATCGACAACAAGTGACGTTGACTACTGGGCTGGACGTTCATTTCCTAGGTTGGAGGAGTCTTGCTCAATTGGCGGCCAAAGCCCCATCAGTGCCAATCAAGACGTTAGGCGCACAGCATTGTGTGTCTGCGGAAAGGATGTCAACGGTGTTTCTCCGCAATTGAGCATGGCAGCTTCCACCAGACTCTGAACCCAAAAGCAGCAACTAAGCCCTTCCTGATCTTAGCAAAACCCACACCCCTCCTTTTACATGTCGCACCACCAGGCGGCCAGTAACGCACCATCAGCAATTGAGCAGCTCGTTTGCAGCAAAGTCCTCGGACGGCAGCGTTGTTAAAAGGAGCAAAGAAGCCGTCTTAGCAGCCTTTGCATCAAGATTTATGAAAGTTCAAGTGAGATGAGTGCAGTGCTTTCTCGAGAGCTCTCATTTTGATTGTGGAGTGCATGAATCATGAATTTTATTGCGCTGGCATCAGCTTGTAGTAGAACGATATATTCCGCTGGTAATCTTGTATAGCGGGGTTTGCGGCAGGTGATTTGTCTGCTCTTTTATACTGCGCCCACATATTGGAAAGCGGCTCATGCTGAAGCGCCTGGGCTCTGAAAGGGGTGCTTTTGCATTGTAGAGACTTCAAGAAAATGTCCAAAATTCCGATATAGGTAGGTACGACTCTGAAAACTGGAGAACTAGGAGTGGGGGGCTCCCCACCCCCAGTAGCGGAGGATTTGAACCTCCGGAAATCGGGCAGCTAGCGGCCCATGGGCCCACCGATCCCACATGTCACGGTCCTGCACGCTACCAGTTGGCACTACCGTAGTCCAACGTGATGATTCCGAACGGAATTTCCCAGTAATATTTTCCAACAA